TGTGATTTAGAAGTCATGACTTGCTACCAAATCAGAGTAGAGTCTGCCTAGAGAAAACATACTGTAATGGGCCACAAGGATTGAAAAAAATCTGTAATAGGACAATAGTCTAAAAGAAAGGCTGACTCACGCAGGTATGATCTTTATGAAGAACAAGGAACTCCTGTTCCTTGGAGAGCTGGAAGTAAGAAAAAATGGTAAGGCAGGTCAATATGTGGAAAAACAGATATGTGTAATTCAATGAAAATCAATGACAGGGAACAAAACAAGGCAAGATTTCTAATTAGCCTGAGGGATATACAAGCAGTACAGAGAGAGTCTGTGGGTTGGCCAGGATACACAGAGACATATGAAGGAACTTTGCAAAGCCCTCGAATTCTGGCTCAGGTGGCTCTGCAAGAAGTTCCCAAGTTCATTTAGAAAAAAAGTCTGCAGGAGTTTAACATGGCATGTGCAGCATTGCTAGCTTTCATGAAAAGCAGTTTTGTCAAGAGATGATCTGAAAGAGGAGCTTATCTCCTGGGGTTTCAAAGCAGATAATCACCAATGTAGCCTTTCCCTACAGCAAACTGGCTCGGCAGAGAGGAGAGGCAGTCTTACTCACCTCAAATTATTTGGTTAATTAACTCCTCCTCCTCAAAAAAAAAAAAAAGGGGGGGGGATGATGATCATTTCTCTATATTTAAATCTGTAAGCACCATATAAAAGATTGAAATAATGTTAAAACTTTGGGAACTACAAAGTGGAGCAAATGGATGGAATTAAAAAAAAAAAAAAAAAAAAAAAAAMCTGTCCTGATAGTGGTGCCTATTTTAATAATCTCTCAGCAGTGGTGTTATAAACTCCACAGATGGCTTCGACAACACAGCATGAATATATCTAATTTGGAGCCTAGTCTTCCTAACCTCCCTGCATAATGAACAGCAATAGGCACCTCCAGGAGATGTGGACAGCTGAACAGATGCATTTCAAACTGCATTCTAGAAGTACTAACTTCTGTTCTACCTCCATAGAGAGCAAGGGTCTGATCTCAAGTGTTTGGACCCCTGCACCTTCATATTCCCAGCATTTTCCTTAGTTTAGGCTGTACAGGAAAATATTCTCTAATACACAGAATACCTATCACCTTACTATCCAGCATTTCCTACACATAAATTGTATGTCTGTAATTCTGCAGATGATTAACCGAAAGGCAAGTGTTTCTAGGAATAATCCCACAGATCTACACAAATGCTCTACAGTTACTTACAGAACATGCTTCCCCCAAAGATATGAAAAGCATAAAGGGCAAGCACTGACTAGCAGGGCAACACACACAGGCAATGAAGATGTATTAGACAAAGCCCAAAAGCCAAACCTTGCACCCACGTGCAGAAAGAACATACCACACAGACACCATGCCCAAAGCTTCCTGGAAGCGTCACGTTTCTTCTCATGCGATATGCAGCACAGCGCACACGCACACAAATAGTGGACACCTATAAACTGCAAATATATGTCAACTAGGCCGAGAATAGCAGACCTGTCACTCTTCACAGACTTACAGAACCAGCTCTCTAATATAAGATTTGTAAAGTCTTTGAAATTAACTTGGAAAAAATCTGCAGACTTAGATAGACAGACAGACAGACAGATAGATAGATAGATAGATAGATAGATAAGGATAGATAAAGATAGATAAAGAGCGTGTCCAGGAAAACAGCTAACAACTCCATGAATAACAGAGAAAGGTTAGAAGCTGTAGTCAACTTCGGATAATCCATGCACACTCATGTTTGTGTCAGCATGCTTGAATAGGAAGCCAGATAAAACCACAATTAATATAATCTACTTTACATGTGCTTTATAAAATATATTTGCAAACACATGTAAACAGATTTCAGGAGCAGCTTTGAAAACCATGGGCCAAAGCACCTCRAGGTACTGAGCATGTGAGCTGTGCATTACATATATCTGATCTGGTCTGGGGCACAGAAGGAGGAAGGGGCACAGTTCATCCATCACCCAGTGACAGTCACCAAATGCCCACACACGTCATGTCAGTACAGGTATGAGTAGATAGCATAAAGCTACTAAAGTAGGACRAATAAGGAGTGTGCCTTCTGCAAGAAAAAGGAACATATACTGCCTTTTATTTGTGACATAAATATAGAACTTTGTGTATTTATGTACTCTAAACCAGGTATAGAGTTTTAAAGAATTCGTTTCTTTGAAAAAAAAATCCATGAAGAATGCCTGCTGAACATATACAGGAAAAAAAAAATAATGCAGTGACTTCATCAGGCCATTGGGTGATTTTGGCTTGCTAAGGAACAAGGCTTTTTTATTTTTTTTCCCCTCCCTGCAGTTGTTTTCTATGCAGTCTTCAGGCACCCTGCAAAGGCATTACCATGACACCACGCTGCGAAGCAGGGAAGTGCCTTGCGTGCACCCCGTCCCCGGGCTCCCCCAGCGCTCCTGCACACTGACAAACGTGCACTCCTGCATTGCACACTGCTGAGGGGACTGCACTCTCCCGTCTTCCTCTTAAGGCTTCTATGAGGGATTAGATCTTTATGGTTTAGGCCCTGGATCTGCAACAGGATATGCTGACACAGATTGATGTGCAGTTTTCTCAGTTGTAACACATAGTTAGCAGTTTCCAAATGCAAACATCTCCTTGCAAGCTTGCATGTATTAAACTGCAGAAAAATACTTCAGGTTCATTGTTTTGTTTTGTTTTGTTTCCCCTCCTTTCCTTTTTCCTCAAGACTTTTTTAGAGAACACATAGTATTTATAGTATTATGCACTTTAGGCACTAAGGTGCGTGATTAGATGTGATTATGCACTTGGATTAAAAGGTAATTTTAACAGGATAATATGTCTTAGACACAAGTCATTTTTGTGAAGGAAAAGATCCTTTTGATCAAAGGCTAGGTAAGGTAGATTGTTCAGAGGCCCTGAAAAGCCTGATTTATGTAATCCTCATCATTTTAAAAATTAATAGGCTGTTCCATATTTAGCCATGATCTTCAGAATTACTTTAGTTGTGCAAGTACTTTGCAAATTCTCATTTTTAAAGCAATCCTGTGCATGCTTGAGCAGCCCTGTAAGCAGATCCACACTGTTGCACACTACAGTTAATCAGCAGAAGCCCAAACCCCCCCTCCCAAAAAGCAGCGTCACAAGGCGCAGTCACCTCAGCCAATTTCTGTGCATGTGGTAACAAGACCCCTGCTGGTTTCCTTGCACAACAAAAAAGTTTATTTGCTGCTCTAGTTGTGACAGCAGCTCCTGAAGCAGGGAGAGAGTGATTTCAGTCGTCTTTACTGAAAAAAATCAAAGTAATGCACAGGCCCAGTGCAGCATCAAAGCAAGCAGTGTGGCAGGCTGCTGTAGTAATAAACATTTTTTAACAATTTATCGCGCGGCACAAGTGCCAGGAGCAGAGGGCAGGTCTGCAGCAAGCCAGATGCACCAGGGACCTCCCTGCACCACCGAGCCCCCCAGCTGTGCTCAGACCTACAGCCCCCAGCACCCCTGTGCATGCAGCACTGGGCAAGTCCTGCGCTGCCCCCTCAGCGCAGACGTCATCGGTGCTGCAGGGCGCTGCTGCCAGGTACTGCAAAGAAAGAAGGCTTTTTAGGCAACTGCACGGTTGCAAAGTTTCACCCGTGTGGCAGAGAGGAGAAGGCCCCCAAACGCTGAAGCTGTTGAATTCTATGGCTCTCCTGAAGCACACCCCTAAATTACAGGCTGTGTTTCACAATGAAAATGATTTTATTTAATCGTGATGTAAGACACATAAAGCAATGGAAACAATTAGGATATCACTTGCTTAAACCCTGGAAAAGTTAATCAGAGATGCAACCAGACCTTTATTCTCATCCTGCCTTGGTTAAGACCGAGGTATCACGACACATGTGCTCACCTCTGCCTTGAGGGCAGATCTGCCTGTGATGAGTTKGAGCCACAGTATTATATCTGTGCCTTCAGTGGAGCTCTGAAGATTTAGCAAAGTCCTGACTATCCCTGCAGTATGCAATGGCTATGCAGAGTGAATCTACACAATGGATTCGCYAAATGAAACATTTCAGTCAAAATAAATGTTTTTGCACTACAGCTGCCTCATACCTAATGTGCATGTATGTTTTCCATAGACATTACTTTAAAGCTCATGCTACCAACAGGAAAGAAGGAAAAGCATGCCCATAGGATGCAGTCTGTTATGAACCACGTAATGACCTTCCTTATTTAACCAAACCAGTTCCAACAGCTTAGAGCATAGAGGAAGCAAGCACAGATTTTTTTCAAGCATTTAACTTCAATCTCCTTTCTACTACAGATTTGTGAAAGCACTGAAAAGGCAAGGAATGTGCAGGTGTGTAGACCAGAAAGGGGCTGGAGCTATGAGGTGGCTGTTCCTTAACTTCTCTCCCTCAGACAGATAAGATGTTAAGATGCCAGAGATGCCAAAGGTGCAGACACCTGGCGAACACTGCCAACACTGCCAACACTGCCAACACTGCACAAGCGTTCCCTACGCCGCCTTCCCTACGCCAGTGTCACCAGGGCGGCACAAGCCACGCGAGTGCCCCACACGGAGCACTCGGAGTAGTGTGGGTGGCCAGCGTGCCCCTGGGCCCAGCGCCGTCGCCGGCGGGCGAGTCGCCTTTCCCCAACCCCGGAGGGCTGCGTGGCCGGCGGCTTCGCGTGGCGCCGCCGCGCGCGATCGCCAGCGCTGCCCGGGCATCCCGGCTCTCAAGGACAAAGAGGCACTTTCCCGGCCGCATCTGCTGCTTCCGAGCRTGGGATCGGAGCGGGGCAAAGCAAAAACTTGTGTTTTAGTTAGGTGACGTCCGACACGAAGCAGAGGAAAATGACATTTCGTGTAGGATATTGAGGGAAGGTCACTAGGCTTAACTAAGAATAGAGGGAGAGAAAAACAGGGAAGACGGGAAGGAGAGGGAGAGCACTGCAGCAGTGAAGCTCTGCTCAGCCAATACATGCCAGCACTTACCATAAAAACAGAAGGATCCAAAGAGAAGCAGACTAAGGATCCTTTCCTCTGTCTCTTCAGCAGCAAGGTTCCCCCACGGCGCTCCGAAGGCGGCTGCCCGGGGAGCAGCAAGGCACCGTGCCGGGGGGCTGAGCGCGGTGTCGCGCGGCGGTAAATCCCCTCGCAGGCTGGCCGGAGCCGCGAGCGGCTGGTGCCGCAGCCCCGCGCGGCGACAGCTCTGCGCGCGGAGCCCGCCGCAGCGGGGCGGCTGCCGCGCCTCTGCCGTCAGCCGGGCCGCGCCGCTCTCGCCCTCATCTCCGCCAGCCGCGAGGTGGGGGAAGGACCCCGCTCCCGCCGCGCCGAGAGGGCAGCCGGGCGAGCGGCATCCGCGGCTTTAATCACCCCCAGGAGCACCCAGTGGGAGGCGGCGCGCGGCGGCGTGGCACTCGGCGTGACACTCGCCCCGCGCACCGCACCGCGGTCTCCTCGTGGCCGCCGCGGCCGTCCGCCACGCGRCAGCGTCTCCTCGGGGAGCACGGCCTGGCCAGCGGCTCCCAAACCGGCGTTTCTCCGGCACTGCTGTCCCAAAATGCTGGTTTTGGTGGCTGTGCAGTGAGGGAAGGGCAAGAAAAGTTTGGAGGTCTTAATACCAGCATTGCTCAATTTGCAATTGATTAGTCTTTCCTATAGCTTTCCTATKGAAAATATACACTAAATACTGTTTCTTCTGCAAAACACCTTTTTTATTACTATTTTGAGAAGTGTCTCAGCAATTTTAAGGCCCAAATCCATTCCTGGGAACTCACCTTGTCAAAAACGAGCAGTTTGATGTGTCCTCRTAGAACTGGGACAGCGCTAAAGCTATAGAAAATACATAGTCAAGGTGTCCCTTCCGCAAAATGACAACTGAATTAAGTGTTTGCGGCGTTATCTATGACATACTGTGGCRTCATTAAAAAAAAAGAAGAAAAAAAGAAAAAAAGCCTCAAGTAAATTTGCAGCAAAGATATCCAGGATTTGGAAATAACTATTTCTACAGCTTGCAAGGCATCACACCTATTAGTATAGGAGAGCAATGTGGGCAACATTAAAGCTGCTCCATCACTGCTGCTTTCATAGAAGAATAAACTTCCAAAGCACTAGTGGTACTTGTCTGTGGGGCAAGGTGTCCCTGCTCCTACAGCACAGTGTAGGCAACAGCAGCGGGGACCTAAATATCGCTGGCAGATTTGCACTTCTGGTAGACACTCAATTATAATGGTCGCCTTTGAAAAATAAGTTGTAAAAGCAGCCAGGCCTGAACTTCTGCCCCATCACAAAATAAACTTGAATATCGTCATTTGACAGTCACATTTCAGAAGATGAAAAGGATGTGTAACATGAAGGGGAAAATGGTGGAGAATAAGGGGGAAAAAGACCTCCAAGTAATCCCAGTACTAATACCCATGGGATTTGATCAGCAGCGAGTATTTGTGGAAGATACTAGACAGCCAGGGGCAGGTAGAAGGGAAGGGCACAGGAAAAATAAAGGCAGAACTTAAACTCCAAGCTAACAACCTAAAATGCAACTTAATGCAAACAATCAGTTCTGAAATGTTTGAAATATAAATTTAAATGCAGGAGCATAGAAATTCCACTAGCAGGCAGCAGTGATTTCCATAGAGTACCAGGTTAGCAGTTGTTTAAAGCAATTTTTTTCTTCCTCTGTAAGATGATGGGACAGGGAAAGTTACRGTGCTTTTGTACATTTCATTTAGGCTTCCTTCATGCCATGAACAGAATAGTCAAGATACCTTTTTTCTCCCTTTTCACAAACACCATTAGTTCACAAAAAGCACAAGTTTTCACATAGGGCCTAGAAGTAGCTGAACGGCTGTTGTCTTGATTGATGTTGATTGAGCACAGAGAGGCTGCACCCCAAAAGCAGTGTTCTCTGCTGCCAGAGATGCATTTTTCAGAGCAGATAACAAGGCACCAGTCAAAGGCAAAAGAAAAGATGCTGCATTAATAGAATTTAGGAAATAACTCCTGCTATGRTAAAAAAAAAAACTTCATGTGTTCYCATATTACAAGGGGACAAGGAAGTCTAGTATGGATGAGAAAAATAGAAAGAGGCAAGTTAGAGAAAGTTGGAAGAATTGCTGGGGAGAGGTAACTGGAAGAAATATAAAGCACTGGTGAAGGACAGCTCAGATAAAAAGAAAAAAAAATAGGAGGACAAATGATCGTATTCAGAGATGCACATGGGAATACACAGAAAAGAGCAAAATTAAGGCTATATCCAATTTGGCAAGGAGTGCCCCAAAATAAATAAAAATAAATAAATTTAAACTCTGCTTTCAAAATACACTGCAGTGCTAGCAGAAAGATTATTACTTGGCCTGCCACATGCTTGGAAAGGTAGGTAAGTTTCTGTACCAGGAAACTTAGTGTGAGAGACCTCCCAAAAGAGTCTCAAGATACGCATTAAGAAAGGTTGGCTTTCCATGCCCATCCCTAAAAACACTCTTTAATATTCATTCCACAAAGACAAAAAATCAGTTTTCTTTCCCATTGTATAGTCAAAGTCCTGAGCTAGGCATATAAATAGAAGAGAAATCAGAGTCAAAGATGCATTTTTTCCCACAAATACTCATGCAAAAAGAAGCACTGAAGGAATGGCTTTTGGCAGACATGAAAGCAGCAYCATGGGCAGACTGGGCAGGACTATGAACACTTTGCTGTGATTTTCATAGCAAACCAATCTAGACTGAGACCTAGTAAAAGGAAGGGACTGCCAGGCCGGTCCCGTTTTCCTACTGGGAGGTGTGRGGAGACATCAAGCTTGCACTAATGGTAGAGCTGCAGTGGTACCAGGTTTGCTTTCTGGTGACAGCTATAATGAACCAAATATGTGCAGAAAGGCTGATACAGCAATTAATTCAAGATTTCAGCTCAGAGCAGAGGGTTAAGCCCTGGAGTAATTTAGGCTTGCTACCCACTGAGGCAAATTTTCGAGAATTTGGAAGAAGTCCCTCACAGATGTTCAGGGTGGATGTAGTGCAGGGTTGATGCTTCCAGGCAACGGAAGACCCCAATTTTTGTAGTGACTTGATCACAGATCACCTAACCTCATGTTAACCATAAGTAAATCAAGTCCTGTGGCTTCTCCCTTGGTAAAGAACTATAGCTGGCTGCAAGTACACAGCTCTGAAGCCAGATTGGCTGTGGGAACGGTGCTAAATTCCCTGGAAACCCTGATTTCCACCACCACCACCCACTTCTTTTGCAGATGCCCTCTCCACAAGCCTGGAGAACTGTGGTCTGTGTGGCCACAGCTACACCCCAGGGATGCTGGCAACTTGCCTAAGTGCTATCTTACAAGTGAAGGGCTGAGGGATTAAGAGTAATGGTGGGAGGGAAAAAGCACACATATGTCCACAGAAAGATGATTAATTCTCCCTTCCATGTCAGTAAGACAACTGCTGTCTAAAAAAAAAAATTATTTGGAACCAGCTGTTCTTCTACATCTAGATGAAAAGAAGAAAAAGCTCATGTGTTTGTTTTTTCTTTTTCTTTCTTTTTTTTTTTTTTTTTTTTTTTTTTTTTTGTGGTGGTAGTGAATTGGTTTGTTTGTTTGTTTTGTTTTAGCCTCCACCTCTACCAGCTGAGGTTTGTTTTATCTTACCTGACTCCCTGTTTTTCCAAAATAATACCCTCCTTCACGCCCCCCAAAATCCCCAAACCTGGAGGCTAGGCAGTTCACAGGTGTTCTCTTTATTCCTCTCCAACAGGTCAGATCAGTGCTCCTGAGCTGCAGCCGGCTTCAGGATACTCAGAATTTAATAAGACTCTGCTCTCACTGCTGGTGTCTCACATGAGCTTTCCACTGCTTGAGAAATTAAAGATTTAGAAAACAACAAGTGTGATGGATTCTGCCAGCATGCAGGTCTCAGCACAGAGTGAAACTGCCCAAATCCACAGGCAAACATGTGAGCAGAGCTTGGGAGAGACAGAGTAGAATAAGTGAATGAAAACAAAATAGAAATTCCAAGGAGGGGTGCTCACATTTTCAAAGGTTAGTTAAGGTTTAAGGATTTGGGGGTTTGTTTGTTTGTTTTGTTTGTTTTCTCAAAGCTCTCAATATCACGGCTGCATGCAGAAGATAATTTCCATCCTCTGGACTAAGTGAAGCTGACAAAAATGAAATAGCAAAACCAAGACGATAATAAATGTGTAATAGTTTCATTCTGCATTTGGAAAGCGTGGTTGTGAGGCTCTGCAAGGTTCTGCACAGCTCTGGTGCCCTCTTGAGCTCCTGTTGAGAGTAAAGAGAAAAATTTACAGTATCACATTTGGTCTTCACCTCAGCATCTCGGAATAAGACTGTCTATTAAAAAAGTTATACATATTTCTTATAGTATAAACGATGGGCTTTACCAGTACATCTTCAAGAATGCTAACCAAAAAAAGAAAAAAAAATAAAGTTGAAGAGCTAAAGCTTAGAACATAAGGAGACACCAAAAATCAGTGCAAATATGTAAGAGAAGCAAACCCATCTTTTATAGTCATGAACATTATTAGTGCATACTTCACCTCATCTTTCTCAGCAAATCAAAGTTCCCAGAGATTTTTCCATAACTTCAGACAGAAGCCTTAAAAATGTATAGGGGTTTTCTACCACAGATGATCCAAAGTACTATGCATATTTCTGGTGTTCAAAAATACAGCTTCATCTTAGGTGACCCTGCATGTGTAGGGAGGTTGGACTAGATGACCTCTGAGGTCCCTTCCAACCTTAAGCGTTCTCTGATCCTAACTTCAGATTTTATTATCAAAATCAAACTGACATCTTGATTTAAAAGGTGTTCTTTTTAAACTGGGAATTCATACTAAATGTTTAATCATCAACTATGTTTGCATCTTTCTAACTCTACTAGGATGTAATACTACATTAATGATGACATTTTTGAACAATAGAAGTTAATGTGAATCATATAGGAAATATCACAGCACAATTGGGCCTGTTTTCTCCGGGGAAGAGAAGGCTGAGAGGGGATATGATTAACATGTATAAGTTCAGGAAGGGAGAATGCAGGGAGGAAGGGGACAAGCTCTTCTCATTGGTGGCCAGTGATAGGACAAGGGGTAATGGTCATAAGCTGGAGCACAGGAAGTTCCATCTCCAGGTGAGGAGGAACTTCTTTACTGTGAGGGTGACAGAGCCCTGGCACAGGCTGCCCAGGGACGTTGTGGAGTCTCCTTCTCTGGAGGTCTTCCAAACCTGCCTGGATGCCACCCTGTGCCACATGCTCTAGGTGTGCCTGCTTGAGCAGGAAGGTTGGACTAGATGATCTCTAGAGGTCCCTTCCAACCTTGAATATTCTGTGATTCTGTCAATTAAGTGGTTATAATCTCTTAAAAGATTGTTCTTTAATAGTACAGGACATTTGATTCATTTCTTTAACAAAATTAAACTGCTGTCAATAACATAGGTCTTATGAGAGGCCCTAAGAATTACACCTTCCTTCTAAACAAAACATTTATCCTCCTGTATATATTAAGCCTTAACAGATGGTCAGGAGATAATCTGATTGACAAGGAATTATTGAAGCTTTCTCTTTACAATATAGTAAGCTGTATTTGTACTTTTACTGTAAGTGCAAGCAGAAAAGTTTGCACTGCATTTGAGTCAAAGACAAAAGGACAAACTTCTCCAGCATGATTTCCTGGAGAGCAATGATTTAGAATATCCAAAGGACATGATCCCATAATCAAAGCCAAATACATAGATAAGGTTCTAGTCCAGATAATTAAAGTGCTGAGACATACTCCATCTGGTAAGAGATTAAACTGAGGTCCATCTATCGTTTACTACCAGAAGCTGGAACATCTGCTTTTTTTCCCTCCACGGCAAAGAAGAATAAGGGATTACTTTACAACCTGTGTCAATAGCAGAAATTTAGGGTTGAGATGGGTGAGGAGAAACCACCACCTAAAAACCAAAGGTCCAGATACCAACAATCGTCTGGGCCCCAGACACTTCTGAGGGCTTTTCAGTCCCTTGCTGAAGCAGGTGGCTCAGAGCAGGGCCAGCTCATAAACTGAGTTCTCAGTTCCATCCATTCTGCATCATCATGAAACCCACTGAGCTGAAGTTGATGCTGGAGCAGRAGGACTATTCAGTCCATATGCATAATCACCTGCTCTGTACATGCACACATACATTTTTATATATATATGTATATATAAAACATATAAGAATATATATATATATATAAAAAAAACTTCAGAGAGAATGTAGAAAATTTTATCCTGGGTTCCACAAACCAGCAAAACTCACATTAAAAGCCTTGTACTGAGAAATTTCAAAAACTTCAGCATTTCAACAAAATTCTTTTAATGGCACTTTATTTTCCCTTGCAAAAGATCTTTTCAAAAGAGCTCAAAAGAACTGGCTCACCACCAAGAAACAAATGATTTGACATGGTACTTAATACCCAATATAAATGATAAATTATAGTAGAATTAATAGTTATTAATGATGAACTCTGTATTTTATATTTGCAGATGTCCACCCTTGCCTACATAAAATGACAAATATGTGTGAATTGAAACACAGTTTAATGGGTTTTAGATCACTGTGTAGATAGTATCAAAAAGGCAAAATGCTAAAGATGCCAGCAAAACTGTTTTGGTTTTTTTTTTTTTTTTTTTTTCCTCAACTTGGCAGGTGGATTGTAGGGACAAAAGATAGATTTGGTTCAAAGCAGAGTCAGCAATACTTCTAAAGGGTTTTTTTGGCTTAAGAAAATATTCTTTATGAGGCAATGCAAGCTACTTTGTCTCAACTAAAAGAAAGTTTTATTTAGCTCTAGGTTTATTAAGCTCACGTGTTTTTTTTTGTTTGTTTTCTCTTAAGCTGTTTCTTAAATATAGAAAAAAATCATTTCAGACAACAATGTTTGACAAAGTCTTTCCACAGTTTCAAAATATGCTTTTGGAGAAGGCTCTGAAAGACCCATGTGAACTGCTGCACCTATCCTGGGAGCCAGATGGAAAAAGAGGAACCTCAGGGCATTAAGCAGCCAAGTGCACAGTGGTGCAAAAGGTCTTGCATATTATCACAGAGCTGCTGCTTAGATGTGTACTGAAAGTCGAGGAAGTTTGAGAGATCTACTACAAGTCTGAAGTTTAATCTAGAAAAAAAATGTCTCAGGTATAAACAACTTGGGAAATATCAATATTCTCAAAACCAAAACATATCAGTATTAAAACATCAAAATCAAAAACACATTGACCTTTAAACTGTTCTRTTTGACTAAGGTTATTTACTAAATCTCACCTATGAATCTCTGGCATTTTTTTTCCTTTGCTGTAACTGCTGTTCTGTTTGTTTGCTTGTTCATTCATTTTTCTTTAAGACGGTCTCACCAAGTCTACAGTTGCTTCTCACTTGTAGTGAGAAGGAAGCAATTCAATCCTAGATATTTGCTGGCAACACAGAAGACAAGGACACRTTGATGCACCACAGGCCAGGAGACAGCGGAAGGATCAAGTCCCGCAGCAATTGAGCTCCTGAGGGTTAGGAAGAAAAAAGAAAATGCAGACTAATGGCCCCACTACTGGCACTGACTACAAAGAAATGACACTGATGCCCACAAGTCCTGCTGCTTTCAAACCTCAGCAAATTTCCTGGTAGACAAGACTTTAACATGCAAGGAAAGACAACTCTAGAGGCATGAGTATTCCTGGTGAGAAAAAAAAAAAAAAGTGTTATTTCCAGATTAACTGCTGCTAATATAAAACAAAGACTGGGCTGAAAGGCTGCGGGTGTGTGTGCTGATTGCTTTGCAAGGACAGAGGTAAAGCAGCATCCAAGCAGCAGCGCCCAGCTGGCACCAACGACCTGCCTCAGTGTTCCTTCCCTACATCCGTGCCCGTACACTGCAGGGGACRCCTTGTGCAAAGTACCTCTGCTACCTGGGCAATACAAATCATATTTTAATGCTTTATGCCTATCTTGATCCACCTCCAGCCTGCCTGATGCCATCTACTTGCTACCGACCACTGCGGACTTGAAATTATTATATGTCATTTGCACTTATGTTTTTTCCTGCCTAACTACTACTACCATCTGATATCCAACAGCACTCAAAAGGTGAGCTGTGAAAGCCAAAAGATTTTCTTCTCAGATGTGCTCTCTGCTGTAGCCTAAGAAAGGCTCCTTAAAACCGAAAAAATCCACAAATTGATGCTTTGATGCCCTATGCACTTACCAAGCCACAGATTCGGATCAAAATTTTTCTGTCATTCCTATTTATCTCATTTTTATATTTAGCAATTGTGTATCTGAAGTGCTAATGTGGCACTGGAATAAGTAATTCTCCTGTTATTCAAATTAATAGCCATTTTCACATTAAACCAAGATCCTCATCAAATCTATGACTTAGGAACAAAATGAAAAAACGATCGACATAAATAGTTGTAAAAATAAAATAATGGCAAACTGTAGGGGAAAAAATGTAACTCTTTATCTAAAAATTCAGTAAACCAAGTATAACTCTGAATTGTAGTCTAAAATCTAAAACATACAGAAAATAAATTGAACAAGTGATTGTTACAACTGTTATAAAGATATGTTTCTCTTTCAGTTTTCTCCCTCACATTGTTTTTCTTTTAGTGCCCAAGGCTAGGGAAGAATTTGTTAGATTTCTATAAAGCAATAGAGCAGTTAGTTTCATACCTTTAAACTCAGAAAAATATGTTGCTAAATTTAAAGATAGGGAGACGTGGTGTATAATTACAGTCAGAAAAGCAAYTTATATTGATACCTACATAGGCAGTTGTTCAAGATGATGTGAGGTTATGTATACCTTTTTGATTGCTRCTTCTACAGAGCAAACTATAGGAGAAGTGATGAGCTTTATTCTCCCAGCATCATTAAGAGACTTAGCTCTGAACTGAAAAGCGGTGATGTTAATTCGCTGCTAATTCCTCATTGGGGGAAAAATAAAATTTCCATTTGCATGTCTGAGGATGCTTTTTGACCACCACCAGATAAATAATTAAATACACTGTTCAGTGGATTGTGCCTTGAGTCGGTTCAGTGRGGAAAAGCGACTGGAAGACCTCTGCCTTGAATCCTGCATTTCCACCACGTGGACGCTGAATAGCCAGCGTGGGGCAAGAGTCTCTATTTCCTTCCTTGTTTACTTCCTTCAGCATCTCATGCTCAGCTCTATGGAGGAATTACAAAAATCACTTCAAGAATCTAAAAGTTAATGTTATTATGTGCGACTTTTCCTACGCTCACGAGTAGCACACRTAGCAATCAGTAAATTGAAACATTTCTGAGCCCAAGTTCCATTTCAATCAACTTGCATAACAGACAAGCTTATTCCCATGGTGGAAAAGAATTAGTTTGCTTTCCTCTTGCACAGCTTCCTTATTTCCTTATTCCTAATAGTTACCTTCTTAGGGGTCCATCATTTGCCACGGGCATTATAGCTAGACTCTTCTGAAGCATGCAAAATTTTCTGTGTATAATGTGACAGATACTTGTCATAAGCTATAATAGATGTACCATATCATAATTCATTAAAGTAGCTATGATGCATTATAGGACATAATTCCTCCAAAATTCCTTCAAATTTAGTCCCAAAGCATAAAATGAGTACTGTGAATTGCAAAAGTGTTTAAAGGATTTCATAAGATTATCAGCTAATGAGTCAGACAAGAAGAGTATAGGAGAGCTTCATTGTGAGGGCTACAAACTCCCCTCCCTCATCGCTGCCTGTTGAGAGGAGACTTTATAGACAATCATCTGCATGTTCAGCTTTCACTAYGTGAACATATGTCATTGAATTCCTTCCTTATTGACAGCACAAATATTACATAGCTTTTTTTTTTTTTTTTTTTGGACACTGTCAGGCATCAGAAGTCATCTAAGATTTTATTTCAGATGTTTATATTTCAATTTGATGCGCACCGTATGCACATGTATTTGTTAGCAACACGACAGTTTGCAGCTCCTGTCCTCCCTTCAGCAAAAAAGTTTGTGTCCTGTAAATGTCCGACATTAAATGTCCGACACTACATTTTTTTGATTCTGGAAAGTCACAGCTGAGAATTATTTTAGATAATTCAGAAACAGAGAAGAAATTTAAAATATTTCATAATTTTGAAGGCACTCTGAGCTGTGTATTCGATAACCATAATGCAGACATTAAACATAGAAGAATATGCAAAGCTGGGCATCCATAGACCTTTACACACTGTCATTCCCCATGAGACAGAGCCAAGCTTTACCAAACGCCCACGCTCTTTCCTTTTGCAGAACACAGCTATTCTGCCCCTTTGATGCACTTGCATGCAACAGGGTATTTTGGGAAGTTCATCTAGGCAGATGTGCAAGTGAGCTGGAGTATGTTGCCATGGATCTATCTGCAGTTTCAATGTCACAGCCAGAACACATTTCTCATCACAAAGCAGTATTCCTCTTCCCATGCAAAATGTTCTTGGATGTGCTCTGATACAAATGTCTTTGTTGAGTCAGCAGGCGTTTTTGGGGAGCAAAAAAAGGCAAAAGTTTTCTAATCCACAAACCCTACTGGAAATGTCACAAGGCCAGTGATTCAATGCTAACATGCATTGCAAAAGGGCCCTCCAAAGTGCTGCATCTGTGGTCTCAGCAGCCAGTACATCAATGGTCCCTGGGATCCAAGTCACAGCCAGCAGAAATTTAAAGACACCCCCATTTACTCTGGGTCTGGAATCCAGTCATATCTGATACAGCACACTTTAGGTTAGCAGGCTTTTTGCTGCCCGATGCTAGCAGATGTAATGGCACTGTACCATTAAACAAAGGAAGACTAAGGGAGGCCGAGAGAGCACAAATGTCCCAGAGCAAAAACCACAACTTCTCAACTGTGCCGTACAGAAACGATACTCTCAGGTTCCACAGCACCTTTTCTCCAACAAACAGTGAGGCGTCCTGGGAAGGATCAAAATGTTTCCTCGGCCCTTGTCCTTATGATAACACACAAACCTGTGCCAGGTTAAATTTCTCCCTATAACTTGGCCTCTCCAGATAGCAGTCCTTAAACTGCCCTTGTAACTTGGCAGAAGGCATCCATCCCCTCCTCTTACGCTCCCAGATGGCTGGATGTTCATATTCTTTGTAATTGGAGGAGTAGTGTAGATTAAGTTTGCCAGCTTCATTGGGATTCATTTTAATAACAAGATTGAAAAGGTGAAAGCTGTACAAATTTGTTCTGTCAGAGCCAAAGGTGTGTTCTTGAAGACAAAGTTGCAGAAGAGAACAAAAGAACCCATTTTGTATGATGACAGATCCTTCCTGGAGACGTCACTCAAAGTYCCTGAAGAACTTTTATGTAGAAGCAAAGGCAAAAGCATGGGAGCATTTACATCCCAGCCTGGGACCACAGAACATCCTGTTGGCTCAAGCAAAGTGCTCTCATATCTGTTTTTATTTCAAAAATCCATGAATTTCACTTGATGCTGTTTTTATTTGCTTTCTTAATATGCAGGAAAGCCACTCTGAGATGTRCATTCCTTCTCAGCCATCAGGACTATAGAGGTCTTGTCCCAAACTCTAGGATGTGAAAGTGCAGAAGGGAGGCTTCTCCTCTCCCTGCAGCCTATTTTATCACCATCCACCAGGAATATTTGCCATACACCTCTTTTATAAAGCTTTCCACTTAACGTTTGCTTTCTCCTCCATGGTAACCACAGAGCATGATAAAACTCTAGAGAACTGGCCAAACATCAGTGAAAGATTTTGTATTTCAAAGCAGATCAAATTAATTATTTACTTAAGATGCTAAAGCCATGGCTGAAGCCTCCCRAAAGTCTGCTAATAAAGATGTGTCCTGCAGATGGCAAAGGTGCCATCAGAGGTCATGTGCACAGGCAACAGATGCCCTCACCACAGATACATGAACCAAGAAACCAACCATCTGAACATTTATCAAGCAAAACAGTGCAGTGTTTAACCTATAATACAGGAAAGAGCCACTAAAGTCCAAAGAGGACTTACCTACTAAACTCCATACATTAGCTAAAATGCCTTTCTAGATCAGCCCTGGATCAAGGCAGCATGCAAGATGGATTRACTTCTTTATCTGAGCAACTTAAAGGGTCTCTTCAGATGGCTGAGCATAAGTCCTAGATCTAAGTACTATTCTAAGTAACTATTATAAGTTATTATAGGACCAAGATAAGTACTTAATAATACTTAACATAAGTACTATTATAACACAGATTGTTACACTCAGATTTTTTATAAAAAATGTCATTTGCACCGAGGAGTCAAATAATGTAATCACCTCAAATAATGTAATCACCACATAAATGTTGAAACTAGAATAAAAAAGTTTTTAATTCAGAACTGAATTTAATATCACTTTAGTTTTTACAGCTGCTAAGTTACTCTAAATACGAGCTACCTGTGGTCACCGTCCATGAGCAACCTCATTGAGATCATGAAGACAGGCATTTTAGAACTGCGTTCTAGAGTATTCATTACAACTGCCTTCGTTCTGTGTCTGCTACCT